CAGGTTGTTAATGAGTCTTCCTCCAATCCTGCTGCCACATTCTTCTTCATATAGTCCAGTTTCTCGTATTATTTGCTCAGCATACAGATTGAATAAGTATGGTGAAAGGATGCAACCCTGACGCACACCTTCCCTGATTTTAAAACACACAGTGTCCCCTTGTTCTGTTTGAATGACTGCCTCTTGATCTATGTACAGGCTCCGCATGAGCACAATTAAGCGTTCTGAAACTCCTATTGTTTACAATGTTATCCATAATTTGCTATGATCCACACAGTCGAATGCCTTTTCGTAGGCAATAAAACACAGGTAAACATCTTTCTGGTATTCTCTGCTTTCGCCTAAGATCCATCTAACATCAAGAATGCTATCCCTTGTTCCACGTCCTTTTCTGAATCCAGCTTGAATTTCTGGCAGTTCTCTGTCAATGTACTGCTGCAACTGTTTTTGATTATCTTCAGCAAAATTTTACTTGCATATGATATTAATGATATTGTTTGATAATTTATGCATTCTGTTGGATCCCCTTTCTTTGGAATGGGTACAAATATGGATCTCTTCCAGTCAGTTGGCTAGGTAACTGTCTTGCAAATTTCTTGGCATAGTAAGCACCTCCAGCACTGCATCCATTTGTTGAAACATCTCAAGTGGTCTTCTGTTAATTCCTGGAGCCTTGTTTTTCACCAATTCCTTCGGAGCAGCTTTGACTTCTTCCTTCTGTACCATCAGTTCTTGATCATATGCTACTTTCTGAACTGTTTGAACATCACCCAATTCTTTTTGGTACAATGACTCTGTGTGTTCTTTCCATCTTCTTTTGATGCTTCCCGCAACATTCAATACTTTGCCCATATTTTCTCTTCAGTTCTTTCAGCTTGAGAACTGTTGAGCATGTTCTTCTTTTTTGGTTTTCTAACCCCAGATCTTGGTGCATTTAATTATAATACTTTGTCTCCTCAAGCTGCCCGTAGAAATATTCTGTCATTTCTTCCTTTTGTTTTGGCTACTTTATGTTCAACAGCAAGCTTCAGAGTCCCTTCTGACATCCATTTTGGTCTTTTCTTTCTTTCCTGTCTTTTTAATAACCTCTTTATTTCTTCATGTATAATATCCTTGATGTCATTCCACAACTCGTCTGGTCTAGGGTCATTAGTGTTCGATGCGTCAAATCTATTCTTGAGATGGTCTCTAAATTCAGGTGAGATATACTCAAGGACATATTTTGGCTCTCCTGGACTTCGTTTAATTTTCTTCAGCTTCAACTTAAACATGCATATGAGCAATTGATGGTCTTGTTCTAACTGATGATATTGAGCTTTTCCATCATCTCTCTCCCACATATGTAGTTGATTTGATTCCTATGTTTTCAATTTGTTGAGATCCACGTGTAAAGTCGCTGTTTAGGTTGTTGAAAAAAGGTATTTTCAATGAGAAAGTAGTTATTCTTGCAAAATTCCATCAAGCAATCCCTGACATCGTTTCCAACACCAAGGCCATATTTTCCAACTACTGATCCTTCTTCTTTGTTTTCAGCTTTCATATTCCAATCACCAGTGATTATCAATGCATCTTGATTGCATGTTTGATCAATTTCAGACTGCAGAAGTTGGTAAAAAATCTTCAATTTCCTCATCTTTGGCATTAGTGGTTGGTGCACAAATTTGAATAATAGTCATATTAACTGGTCTTCCTTGTAGGAGTCTGGATATTATCCTATTACTGACAGCATTATACTTTAGGAAAGATCTTGAAATGCTCTTTCAGGCAATGAATGCGAGGCCATTCCTCTTCAATTTGTCATTCTTGGCATAGTAGACCACATATAATTGTCTGATTCAAAATGGCCGATACTAGTCCATTTCAGCTCACTAATGCATAGGATGTCAATCTTTGCTCATTCTGTTTAAGTTTTGATGACTTCCAATTTTCCTAGATTCATACTTCTTACATTCCATGTCCTGATTATTAATGGGTGTTTGCAGCTGTTTATTCTCATTTTGAGTCTTACCACATCAGCAAATGAAGGTCCTGAAAGCTCTACTCCATCCATGTCATTAAAGTCAACTCTACTTTGAGGAGGCAGCTCTTCTCCAGTCTTATTTTGAGTGCCTTACAACCAGAAGGCCTCATCTTCCAGCACTATGCCAGACAATGTTTTGCTGCTATGCATAAAGTTTTCACTGGCCAATTTTTTCAGAAGTAGACTGCCAGGTCCTTCTTCCTAACCTGTCTTAGTCTGGAAGCTCCGCTGCTGAAATCAGCCCACCATGGGCGACCCTGCTAGTATTTGAAATACCAGTGGCATAGCTTCCAGCATCACAGCAACACGCAAGCCACCAAAGTACAACAAATTGACAGAGGTGAAAATGTGTGCTAAAAGGTGGAATTTGGAGGGTACTCTGAAGAAACAGACAGCAAAAACAACATATATATATATATATATATATATACACATATATATCTCCTCAAAGTTCTAGCTGCCTGAGGGGTTATGTTTTAACATGGAATCATAGGCAGTTGAGTTGGAAAACTATTTGGAAATCAGCAGAGGCATGCTGTACAGCCTCCTGGGGTTGACACATGCTGGTGCTGGGTGATCAAAGCTACTGTCTTGACCCCACAACCTCGTAATCAGGGTCCAGCCTGTGCAACAGTAAATGAGAGTGGTTGGTAGATTGTCCAGTGGGACATCCTGCTGGCATGCCAACAGTTTTGCATGTCTCCTTTTTTTACCTTTTTATATCACATCTGAATATAAAGAGAAGATATATCCCTATTTGAGCGAATATGAGGATGGTAGCCCTCAATTCATTTTAATGCTACAAATATCATTGGGTCCTTACCATCTATAAAGCCTTGGGCTAGGTGATGTGTGGGATGAAGACAAGGATAAAGACACATTCGCCTCCTCTCAGGCTTACAATATACTGGGAACAACAAACATATCCACACATTATCGGCATGACTCGTGTCACTAATAGGACAGCTGTTAAGCACTTTCTTTCAGTCAGTGGTATAGTAAGTGCAGTAGAAATTAAGGATGGCACAGGAGGCTTTGTGGTGATGGACCAGATCTTTATCTTGACTATGGTGGTGGTTACATGAACGTACATATG